CTTGAGCCATTGCTGTTGTCTCCTAATGTCTGGAGCAGCATGAAGCTGGAATCAGGAACTGGAGATGAGAGTCCAACCCAGGTAATCTGATGATTTAGTTTGGGTAGTTTGGAAAGGGCATTAGTATTATTATTGGTGTTTTAGGACTGGTATTAATATTAGAAAACTGCCCCATTACAAGGTTTGGTTGGATAACATGGCACTTAACACATGGGAATCTGTTCTGGTTTGGCTGGCTTTACTGGAGCCCGTGTAAGAGGTGAATAGGAAACCATGGACTCACTTTGCCAGCCAGCTCCGGGTGATGGGCAGCTCTCAGGGCAACTGGACAAGTACCTCAAGACTGGGGGCAAAAGAAAGCCTTACCATAAGATGCGGAAGTACAACCTGGGCTACCCAGCTGCCAGCACTAAGATGGGCCCCGCCAAACAGGTACAGCGCATGACAGAGGAGGCAACCAACCAGAAGGACCTCACCCTGAGGCTGGGCATGCCGAGCTTGGCCTGGGACCCCAAGTGTTGTGCTCGCAAATGAAGAATCCTTGATGCTCTCTGCAATGCCCTCAAGAACGACCAGGTGAAGAGCTGCACTGGGCTAATTGACAGCACATCAGTCAGCTCAGGCTGACAGTGGTAGGAATCGTACTGCCCCTGGGCTGCCAGAAGGGGCCAGGCAGACTCTTGAGGAGGAGGAGATTTTCAACAAAAAATAGCAAAAAAAAAAAAAAAAGTTCAGAAGAAATATGATAAGTGAAAACAAACAAAAAACCCAAATCCAAGCCAGTCATCTTCTGGAAGAGCAGCAGGTCAAGCTTGTTAGGTGCTTGGCTTGAGGCCCAGCTGGTGTGGCTGGGCAGGTAGCTATTTGCTGGAGGGCTTGGAGCTGGAGTTCTAGATGAGGAAAATCAGAGTTTAGAAAGGCAGGCAAATCCTCCATTGTGTAATAAATGTGTTTATTGTTCTCGTTCTTCAAAACAAACAGGGTCTGGCACGATAGCCTAGAGGCTAAAGTCCTTACCTCGCACGTACCTGGATCCCATATGGGTGCCGGCTCTAATCCCAACAGCCCTGGTTCCTATCCAGCTCCCTGCTTGTGGCCTGGGAAAGCAGTCGAGGATGGCCCAAAACCTTGGGACCTTGCACCCATGTAGGAGTCCTGGAAGAGACTCCAGTCTTCTGGTTTTGGATCAGCCCAGCACTGGCTGTTGTGGCTGCTTGGAAAGTGAATCAACAGATGGAAAATCTTCCTCTCTTTCTCTCCTCCTCTCTGTATATCTGACTGTCCAATAAAAATAATAAATCTTAAAGAAAAAAGAAGTTCCTCTTTCTTAGAAACAATCAAATAAACAATGTCCTCCTATAAAATGCTTCATACTTTTTAGTTAACAATTCTTTTTTTAAAAGATTTGTTTATTTTTATTTGAAAGGCAGATTTTACAGAGAGAGGAGAGACTTTCGCCTGCTGGTACACTCCCCAAATAGCTGCTACTGTTGGAGCTGAGCTGATATGAAGCCAGGAGCCAGGAGCTGCTTCTGGGTTCCTCACTTGGGTGCAGGGACCCAAGGCTTTGGGCTGTCCTCTATTTCCAGGCCATAAACAGGAGAGTTGGATTAGAAGTGAAGCAGCTGGCATGTGAACTGGTGCTGATTTGGGATGCCAACACTCGCTGCAGAGGATTAGTATGCTGAACCACCATGCTCGCCCTTAGTTAACAATTCTTTAACAAACATTGTTACTTCAAAAAGTCTACATGAGACAGAAGGGTGACCTTACAATTAACGTGTTATTTAGGATGCCTGGGGCTAACATCAGAGTACAAAACAGGACATTGTGGTCCCTCTTAGTGTCACCAGGAAGTTCTATTTTGCCTATAAGGGAAGTAACTTTGCAAGCATCAATCACTTTTTGTTCACCAATTTCACCTTTTTCAGCCTTTTGTCCTCTGTATTGAACACTCAGCTCTTTGGGGGCAAGCTGGACTGTGAAATCCACCCTGTTTCCGCACTGCCCATCTGGGAACTTGCTGCTCTGTTTCTGCTCCTGGTTAAATCATACAGACCAGCAGGAAGGGCAGTTCTTTGGTTTCTCCTCCATAGCTCCCGGTGAACATCCCCACCTTGCCGCTGGTGGAGTTCCAACTGTTATTGCAATTCAGATCACACTCGCTGAGTGCTGCTGCAGTATCACTCACTGTGTCTGTCAGTCTCCAGGTACCCCTCTGCTGTTGTTCTGCCCTCTTTTGTTTCTTGAAATGTGCCCTTGCTGCTTCTCATTAGCTGATGATTCTTTGTCTGATTAAAAGTGTCCTTACCCTAGTCTGCCATCTTGATTCACCAAAATACACAGTTTTGAGATATTTTGAATCAGATGATGTGATTCCCCCAATTTGGTTATATGGCAGGATTGTCTAGCTTACTCAGTGTCTTTCATGCTCCAATAAAAACTATGGAATTGTTTCTTCTGCTTGTGCTAAAATGTCATTGAAATTTTGTTAGCCTTTGCATTGTATCTTAAACTAACATCAAAATGGTATTAGTATTTTAATATTTATTCCATACTTACAGTTTTACTGAATTCAATTAATATTAGTCTTTTCTTATCCAATAACTTACACCACTTATGTTTAAACCAAATACTTAAAAACAAGGTTTTACTATTTAAAAAATTAAAAAAAATTGTTTTATGTGAAAGTCAGTTTTACAGAGACAGAGAGAAAGGTCTTTCATCCACTGGTTCACACTCTAAATGGCTGCAACAGCCGATCTAAGCTAATCTGCAGGCAGGAGCCAGGAGTTTCCTCTGGGTCTCCCGCATGGGTGTGGAGGTCCAAGAACTTGGGCCATTATCCTCTTTCTGCCCAGACCACAGCAGGAAGCTGTATGAGAAATGGGAATACCAGAACACAAGCCAATGCTTTTATGTGATGCTGTCACTTGCAGATGGAGGATTAGAGTGGTGGGCCACCAAGTGTTTACTAATACAATTTGGTATTTAGTGATGAATTTGTAGATCCATTGTTCCGTTCTTCCTGCCTTGCTGCATTTTCTCTAGAGTCACACTTCAATACCTTCCTCTACATCTTTTCATCCTTTTTACCTTGTCATTATAATGAGTATGTGTCTAGTTAGAATAGTGTATTTTAAGCTGGTAAAAGCTCCACTTCAACTGTATGTGATTTTGCCAGATGAATGTCTAACACAGCTAAAACATTGGTGCCTCTCTCAACCATCTCCACTGGTTGTTCATTTTGGGATATTTTCATTGAGTATGAGGCTCATTAGCCAGTGTTAGAAGCTACCAGCACAATTCCAGTGCTCAAGGCATTACACACATCATTGTCCGAATTCCAGATGAAACTCTGGAATGCCAATTATTTCTGATTTAGTCTCCATAATCCTTTGCAGTATAAACTACTAAATTCATTCACATATATCTTCTCCAAACACTTAACAGTTAACAATATAGGTAAAATTTATAATTCTTTTCTTTTGCATAGCTTTTATTATTATTTTATGATACAGTTCCATAGACCCTGCATTTCCTCTTCCCAATTCACAAGTCCTCTCCCCAGCCATTGATTTCCCATAGATTATTACAATAGTTTAGTCCTTCATAAACAACCATAAGTCAATTATTCTGCGTTTACTTGTGTCCTGACAGTTAGGTGTACGCAGTGGCAGGGAATCAGGCATCTTATTGTCAAAACGTATTTCACAGTTTCATTGGGAGTTAATGTTTGATTTGGAAATATAGATGCATACTGCATTATATCTTCACATCTGGATTTGAAGTTCTGCATTTAACAACTACTTTATATCAACCTAAAAAAGGAAATAAAACAAAATCAAGCACAAGAAGAATAACCACAACATGAAGTTAAATAACATGCTACTGAGTGACCAATGTGTCTCTGAAGAAATGAAAAAGAAAATTAAAATTAGAGATTTTTTTTTCTAAAAATATCTACTTTTACATGAAACTTTTGTTGGTTTGATTGCTCTGTGCAGTGAGTCACAGTATGTATGTTAATTTACATTATGTTTCTTTTTGGAAGACACTATCAAGAATTGTGGGACTCACAGCTTAGTCCCATTATTAAAAAATACACAAGTTCATCAAGTCAAAACTTGTGCAGTGAGCATACCAAAATAGCAATAGAGCAGTTTAAGAAGGTAGTAAACTGAATTCACAAGGTAATAGAGCATGTAGTAAAAGGAAGTCAGACTGGTGTCAGAAAGTGCTTGGTTGAAAAAGGAGAAAAATGAAACTGAAAGAGGAAAGGGAAAGGAAGAGAAGAACTTACTACTATATAGACCATAACGTGGTGAAGAAAAGTGGAATGGGAGGGAAAATTGAATGAGTCTGAGAGCAACTAATGCTAATTGGGAAGAGCAAGCTTGGTGACAGAGTTCATGCAGCTTCTACTCACAGATGTATACTCATTAGACTACTGTGTGTGTGCTCAAGATTCTACTCAAGTTTCTCAGCTCTAGAATAGACCTAAGAGTGGAATACAGTATAGCCAAGGTACATAAAGCAGAAAAAAAGGCTGTGTTTTAGAGTAACAGGTTAAACTGCTGGTTAGCTACATGGTTCTCTCTATGTGTACATCTATGTGTGTCTTTACTATATGATTTTCAAATGAATAAATGAGTCTTTTTCAAAAAAAAATCTTACATCAATTTAAACAACCTCCTAATAAAAATGAAGTTTACCTTTAAAGTAAGACCATTTTTTTATATTTCTAAGAAGTGCTTTATGTAAACACTATTCCTTAGGAATTGAGATTCAAAATTAGTATAATCTTTGATTTTTACACATATGTGATTGCTTCTTTCATTGAAGAAGAGAATGTTGCTCCTTCCTATTGGAGACAAAATATAACCAATACTAGTGTGTATAAGTAAACAGAGTGTTAAAAGAGTAACGAATGTCTGAGCTGGAACATCAACAATGAAATTCTGTATTCTTTGAGAAATCTTCAAAGTACAGGCAACCATTTAGGAGATCTTCCTGTAAGTCACCAGCTGTCTACATACTCTCTTCATTGCTGCCTTCATTTCTTGATTCCTGAATGTATAAATTATGGGGTTCAAGAAGGGAGTGAGAACTCCATCAAAGATGGCCAGAAACTTATCCAGGTGTGTGGAGGGGCTTGGCCAGGTGTAGATGAATATCAATGGACCAAAGAACAGGATCACCACAGTGATGTGAGCTGAAAGTGTGGACAGAGCCTTGGATGAACCAGTTGAAGAGTGTTTCTGAACAGTGACAATGACAACAACATAGGAAATGGTCAGTATGAAGAAAGATCCCACAGCGATGAATCCGCTGTTTGCTGTGACCATGAACTCCAGTCTATCGGTGTCTGTGCAGGCAAGTTTGATGAACCGAGGAAGGTCACAATAAAAGCTGTCTAACACGTTAGGGCCACAGAAGGGTAAGTTTATCACAAAAGCCAACTGAACTACAGAGTGCAGAAGGCCAATCAACCAAGAAGCCACAGAAAGTAAGATGCACACTTGTGGGCTCATAATGGTCAGGTAATGCAGAGGCTTACAAATTGCCATGTATCTGTCAAAGGCCATGGCTATCAGCAACACCATCTCCACAGCACCAATGATGTGGATAAAGAAGATCTGGGCAATACAGCCTCCAAAGGAGATGACTTTGTGCTTTCTGAATAGGTCAGAAAGCATTTTAGGGGAAGTGACAGACGAAGCACCCAAGTCAATGAAGGAGAGATTGGCCAACAGGAAGTACATGGGAGAGTGTAAATGAGGGTCAGTGACCACCGTGAACACAATGAGAGAGTTTCCCGTCATGCTTGCCACATAAAGTATGGAGGAAAACACAAAGATGAGGAGTTGGATGTCCCAGGAGTCAGTGAGCCCCAGGAACACAAACTCCGACACAGCAGAACGATTGGTGCCGTCCATTGGATTTTTGACAGTGCTACATGAGAAAAACAATACATGAAATTGAATCATGGGAGGCATATAAAACCTAGAATAGATACAGTTGAAACTATGAAAGCTTACGTTAATATTACCATTATGGTGAACTTAACAGTGAATGAATATGTGAAAAATGCTCATCATCATTTATCATCTAGGAATTAAAAATTAAAATGATGATGAGGCATCATCACCCTTCTGTTAGAATCGTTATCTGTATGCCATTTCTCAACTGTCACAACCTATCCAAGAGAACAATCCTTTTTGAGTAAACAAGAACTTTCTTCTCACTCCTTATGGCTGCAAAGCATTTGTCCCTAAAGATCAATAAATGTTTCCCCATATGACTACCTTGTATTGTATGAATCTTGTAATTTTTTAAAGAAGTTACAAGCCTGACTACAAAGAGATAAAGTCATCTTCATATCAGTGGCTATGGCTTGTTTAGTCTCCGTTCTTTAAGCAATAAAAAGAGCTCCCCAGAATTGTGAAGCTGGTTTGCATTACTTTGGGCACAGAGATTACACATGTTCAGAAACCTTTCTGGCAATCTGGCATTACAGCTAAACCCAAGTGTCTTATTTGTATTCTGGTAAAGCATCACTCCATGAAGTACCGAGTAGGGGGTGAGTAGGAGACCCTGCAGTACTGTGACAATGCCTGCCTGATCATCCTTACAACATAATTACAAAAGCTTAACTCAGGAGTGACACTGCTGTGTAGCGGAAACTATTTAGTCCAAATCACTATCACACTACACTCTACTTTGTCTTACTTAGTGAAGGAACTTAACAGACAGAATATGGGAGTTTGGATTCAGACAACCAGGATACTTACTAGTCAATTAAGCTGACAAATTGATATTGTGTGATTTACTTACACTCTTGATCAATATATTTATTCACAAAACTGCACACTAAGAAAACAAACTTCTCAGAACAAGTTCCAGAGATGAAAATAATTAAAATGATAAGCACGTATTTGGTGTGTAGACAATTCACATTTAGATATTCAGTAAATTTTATTATGTTGCTTGTAACAGTGCTAACTACATGGAAATGTGATTTAATTAAAAAGGTTAAATGGATTTTGGTCAGCAGAAACATCACAACTCAACCTTTAGGTGACTCATAATGTGTACAATTAAAATTAAAAGGGAGAGGAGGACAAAGAAGCAAACTTGACTAAGATGAGACAAATCTACAAACACTTACCTTTTAGAAAGTAAATCTTATTTCCTAAAAAACCATTTTCAAGACCCACTGAATTTTCTTCAGATAGCTATTGCTAAGCATGTAGAACTGGAAGTCACAAAGACAGTTTATGCATGCCCAACAGTCAATAATGGATGCAGAAGGAAATTCAAGGACAATTAGTCATAGCTCTACTTATCCTTTTCCCATTATGCCTTTTCCATTCAGTTATTTTACTTAAAAGATGCATTTACTGCATCTATTCTGTTGAATGCTTGGAAACACAATGCTATAATGACATTTAAATATGCACAGGCAACATAAGAGGAGTATTGCACAGTGTCAGAGGTTCAGTGATGGCTGAGTGAAGCAGGAGGAAGGAAGTGCAGCAGAACAATCCCAGTGGAAGACGTGACAGTGAACAGAGCTGTAGCAGACAGTCGCAGCTGATCTGAGCAGGGAGGATCTTCACGTCACTGAGGCCAGCCCTGCTTCCCACAGAAACTCCCACCCTATGGTAATCTTACTGTTTTTATCCCCTCACCTACCTGTTTTGCCAAAGGAATTAAGAAGACAGATTGTGTTAAGAGCTACATATGGCCTGCAAATAGCAACCAGAGCCTATCCTGGATTGATACAAGCACACACAAATAGTCAACAACGTCATAAGAACAGAAGCTAATTACTGCTCCAGAGAATACTGACCAAGCTTCCTGCCAAGATCTGGAGTTGCCAGGTTGAACTCCATTGGGCTAAGGAATTAGTTCCTTCGATCATGTTGATTTTCCCAAGGTATTTGAATTTTAAAAATTGTTGATGAATAGAATAAGAGCCAGGTTGGCTTTATTTTGTTGTTCTTCCTGTTGTTTTGGTAGTTTTCTTATGATAAGGAAACTTTATGTCACACCCTGGAATGATTTTTATTCATTTCTTTACTTTGTTATTTCCTGGTTGTCTGGATTTCCCCTTTTCTTTAAACATATAATATCCAAATAAAAATTGAACATATTTGCAATGTGAAAATATGATGTTTAGACATTGTAGACAGAACAAAATGATTAAATCATACAGCTTCATTGCCTTGCATATATATTTATTTTAGTCCCACTTTGCTTAAACATTTTGAGTCCACATGCCTATGTCCCATGTGACTGATGAGTATCATTTAAAAATCCTCATTTCTGTTAGCTTTAATTGTGGTTTCAATAGGATTTAATCTGTCAGACTCATGCATACATGCAAATACCAAATTGTTGTGTGCACAGTGAATGAGCTGCTACTGGATTACCTGATCCACTTTTGGTGTCTTGGAGGTGGGACTGGGTGCGGGTGTTAGGTGCCAGGCTTACCGTTGGACGATAATTCTCAAGATCGGTTCACAGTGGAAGCAGAGTCTGGATAATCACTGCGTCTCTGACTCCTGACTTGCCACGGGATCATGTCCCTTCCCCCACCATCCTCCAGGGTCAAAGGACACCAAAACCATTGGTGCTGCTCAGTCTTCTGGCATGCAAGCAGACCTTTGCACAGCCTGAAAACTTGTGCTTCCAGCCTCCCCTCTCTCTGCCCACCAATATCTGCTTTGCTATCAGTGCCACAAGCACAGGAAATGGGTTTACATTTTATTTGCTAATAGGTTCCAGGTACCCACAATACTAGAGACACTTTGTAGATATTTCACGATTGGTGTAAGAATGAAAAAACAGAAGAGGCAAAGACAGCTGTGTTTCATGGCTGCATAGACAATGCTAAGGGGAAAGCAGTTTTCAGGGATGGTCATAAGCACTGTTGGGTCAGACCTGCTGGTCATGGAACATACGAGGTACCCGAGAGAACATGTCAAATGATGTATCACAGATGAATTTGGATCTGAAAAGGGTTAGCATGTGCCACAGTGCGTCACCACCAGCAATGCTGGCATCCCAGATCCGAGTTCCTGTTGGATTCCCTGTTGCTTCTCCTATGACTCAGTTTCCCAATGTGCTGGGACAGTAGCAGATGGTGCAGAAGGTGGCTTGGGTCCTTGCCACCCAAGGAGGAGACCCAGAAGGAGTTCCTGGTTCCTAGGTTCAGCCTGGCTTGATCCTAGCTGTTGCAAACACTTGGGAGGCAAAGTAGCAGATGAAACATCTCTGCCTCCATCTCTCTCTTCTCTCTCTGTTTTTAAATAGATTAATAAATCTTTCTCAATTCATCAGGATTGTATTTTAGATAATTATGCAGTGTAGAATGGGGATAATTTTACAAATCAAAATGTAAATCACAGAATATTCACTAAATGATGCTGGGAAAAGTAATAAAATAAACACTTTATTTCTTACTGTATTCATCAAAAATAGGCTTAATGTACATTGTGTATCTTTTAATACATGTTTATGAATGTTCAGTAGATACTGACATAGAAATGCTCTTCATAAGACAAAAATATGGAAGTCATATTTTAAAATCATCACAGAGTTGGAGTATAAAATTATAGATTTAGCACAAAGAGTGTCATAGGTGAAGTGAAAAATGAAATTGCAACCAGGGAAGTACCTTGAAAACACACACGTAAGAATTAAAGAATTAATGGCTTTAAAAGAAATACTCTTGAGCTTCAAAGTGGATTTCTGAGACTTACAATTCAAGAAGTTCTTACAAGATTGGATATACTAAAGATCAATAAACACAAAACAGTATTTTACTAGTTTTCATCTTTGAAGTAGAAATCAACTTTTATACATAATCAGAGTCAGTCCTTGGAAAGCACACAGGCATGGATGCACTCAGCAAGCACAAGTGCTTTCAGACAAGAAATAATATGAGCACAGAACTGAAAAGTTATTGTGGTTTATTCATTCCCATTGTACTGTCTGTAGAGGAAATAATGTGGCATGCAAGCAGAGATTATTTGGAAGGGTTTCCAAGGCAAGTTAAAGTGTGGAAGGCAACCTAAACACCCAACAACAGAAAATATGTAGTATAATCATGATATAATTAATCATAATGTAGTGCCAATCACACATCTGAAACTACGGAATAGTATGTAATACCATGACAAAATTTTTAGATTTATTAATCAAAAAAGCTATTGTAAATATCAGAAATATTCCAAGTTTAATCATAAGAAACACTAGAGTAATTATACCAAGATATTATTAGGAAATATCCCCCTGTGGTGATTTCTATTCCTCCCCCACAACTCTCTTCCTCCCTCTTTCTCTGTAAAAATTTGTCATTGCAATAAAAATAAATCTCTCTTTAAAATTATGCCATGTAGTTATAAGAAAGACACATTTTGCAAGAAAAACAAGATTGTTCAGTTGAACAAACATCAGGAACAAATATATAGTACAAGCAGTGTTTTGCACAGAGAGTGTGTTTATATATAGAACACCTCCCAGTGATTGACATTTGTTGTACTGCTAAGACACTGCTTGAGATGCCCACATCCTGTACTGAGGTTCCTGGATTCAAGGCCCAGCTGCACTTACAGTTCCAGCTTCCTGCAATGCTGCGAGCGGCAGCAGGGAGGGGCTCAAGAGGCTGGGTTCTTGCCGCTGATGTGGGAGACCTTGATAGAGCTCCTCACCTCTGGAGTCACCCTAGCTCAGCCCTGACAGTTGTAGGCATTTCAGTGGTGAGCCTGAATATGGGAGATTCTCTCTTTCTCTCTCTCACACACATATTCTCTCTCTCCCTTCCTTTACTTCTATCTCTGTTTGCCTTCACATATATACATTATTTAAAAAAAAAAAATAGCTCCCACACTAAAATTGGGACTTTGCTGGCACAAATTCTACAAATGTA